AGGATTTGCAAAGCATGTGCACCGCTAACTCGTTGTCAACAGATATTTTCTAAATCTTTTCATACTTTTAATCAAGGTGCTCATGTGATTTGATGCACTTCGCGATGTAAGACTCGTTTTATCACAATATAGATCTTGATTATCAATCAGATCGTCTTGACTGAGCGCCACCGTTTTGTTTGAAGCAAATGCAAGTGATACGAGAGGTTGAATCTGATTGGTCAATAGGAGAGGCTTAGAAGGGACATAACTCGTAATAGCCACTGGTGGCGCTACGATCGATCCCAGGATTTCCAGCCTAGTTCGGCAAGGGCGGAAACTGGACTTTTAAAGTCAGTTAACTCTCTTGCCTCGGGAAGATAAGGTTATGGGTATTCATGGCCTGTGGATCCTGGTATAACTAAGGAACGCAACTCTCTATTGCGAAATTCGGCGCCTAAAACAAATGGGCAAGGTGTTTTCCCGTTTCGAGTGACGAGGCCCCATGCGATATAATACAAGGACGTTTTACTGTTATATCACGAGACCCTGATATGAAAAATGAGAAGGATATTATATTGTCATCCTTATCATAATGCCCTATAACATATAATATTATATGACATATAATAAGTATATTATAGTGTTATATCAAGAGGCTCTGATATGATATATAATAAGGATATTATAGTGTTATATCATGATGCCCTGATATGACAACACAATAAGTATATTGTACTGTCATATCATGAGGCTCTGATATGATATATAATAAGGATATTATAGTGTTATATCATGATACCCTGATATGACAACACAATAAGTATATTGTACTGTTATATCATGAGGCCCTGATATGATATATAATAAGGTCTGGCAGGATATTATAGTGTTATATAATGAGGCCCTGATATGACAACACAATAAGTATATTATAACCGTGATATCAAGAGGCTCTGATATGACATATAATAAGGATATTATAGTGTTATATAATGAGGCCCTGACATGACAACACAATAAGTATATTATAACCGTGATATCAAGAGGCTCTGATATGACATATAATAAGGATATTATAGTGTTATATCATGAGGCCCTGATATGACAACACAAGAATATTATACTGTTATATAAAGATGCTCTGATACGATATATCATAAGGATACTATAGTGTTATATCATGATGCCCTGATATGACAACAAAATAAGTATATTATAACTGTTATATCCAGAGGCTCTGATATAATATATAACAAGGATATTATACTGATATGATAAACGATACAGATATTATACAGTTATATCATGAGGCCATGATATGATATATAAATAAGGGTATTATTCTGTTATATTACGAGACCTCATTACAAAATATATTAAGGATATTATACTATTATATCAGGAAGGCCATCAAACGAACAGCGTTCTCCAGAGACGTTTTATAGCACTGAAGCAATATAAACAAATGCCTGCCAAGCTTATTTCCGCCCTCTTCGTGTCCCATAGGTGACCTGTGACTTCATTGACTGTGATGTGGCCTTCACAGCCATGTTTGAATACAACGTTACTTCTGATTGAACAGCAAACACCTGCTTTACATAACACGCTAATTTAATCTTGTAGAGGTGTATCGTCAGCGAGTAACAGAGCCGAGAACATTGTACGTTGTCTATAGTAAACAGGCCATAGGTACCACTTGAGCCGACGGCTGTGGACGAGTATATTTAGAGAAAGGATTGGCAGTTAAAGGAGACGCTGGGTGCAGTTTGAAGGGAGAATCGTCCCTGAAATAAAGTGTGAGGTGAGGTGAAATGGAGTTTAACGTCTTGTTCAAGATTATTGCAATTATATAGCGACGTGTGTGTCTGCTTTTACTAGGCCGGAGTAATGTCGATTTTATAATGCGAGCCCACTGAGATAAGATGCCGCAGTTTGCTTTGAATACCCTTCTCAAACACAGTAATTCTGACTCCGAGCCGACCAGTCCTTGTTTTAGCCACTTAATGCCGAGCGCGAGACAGGTAACAACAAGTACCATTTTTTAATGTCTTTTGGTATGACGTGGCCGGGAATCGAACCTCTGACCTTCCGCCCTCGAGGCGGACGCTTTACCGATACATCACGGGAAAGGGGATGAGTACAGACTGCTAGAGCTGAAAAGTGTATGTATGAGTGTAGGCTGCTAGAGCCGAGAAGGGTATGGGTATAGGCTGCTAGAGCTGAGAAGGGGTGAATATAGGCTGCTAGAGCTGGGAAGGGGATGAGTACAGCCTGCTAGATTGGAAAAGCGGATGAGCATAGGCTTCTAGAACTGTAAAGGGGATGTGTATAGGCTGCTAGAGCTGAAGAAGGGGTGAGTATAGGCTGTTGGAGCTGAGAAGGAGATGAGTATAGGCTGCTGGAGCTGAAAAGGGGATGTGTATAGATTGCTAGAGCTGAAAAGGGGATGTGTATAGGCTGCTAGAGCTGAGAAGGGGTTGAGTATAGGCTGCTAGAGCTGAGAAGGGGATGAGAACAGGCTGCTAGATTTGAAAAGCGGATAAGTATAGGCTGCTGGAGCTGAAGAAGGGGATGTGTATAGGCTGCTGGAGCTGAAAAGGGGATGAGTATAGGCTGTTAGAGCTGAGAATTGGATGAGTATAAGCTGCTACAGCTGAAAAGGGTGTGTGTATAGGCTGCTAGAGCTGAAGAAGGGGATGTGTATAGGCTGCTAGAGCTGAAAAGGGGATGTGTATAGGCTGCTAGAGCTGAAAAGGGGATGTGTATAGGCTGCTAGAGCTGACGAAGGGGTGAGTATAGGCTGTTGGAGCTGAGGAGATGAGTATAGGCTGCTGGAGCTGAAAGGGGGATGTGTATAGGCTGCTAGAGCTGAAAAGGGGATGTGTATAGGCTGCTAGAGCTGAAAAGGGGTGAGTATAGGCTGTTGGAGCTGAGGGGATGAGTATAGGCTGCTGGAGCTGAAAGGGGGATGTGTATAGGCTGCTAGAGCTGAAAAGGGGATGTGTATAGGCTGCTAGAGCTGAAAAGGGGATGTGTATAGGCTGCTAGAGCTGACGAAGGGGTGAGTATAGGCTGTTGGAGCTGAGGAGATGAGTATAGGCTGCTGGAGCTGAAAGGGGGATGTGTATAGGCTGCTAGAGCTGAAAAGGGGATGTGTATAGGCTGCTGGAGCTGAAAAGGGGATGAGTATAGGCTGCTGGAGCTGAAAAGGGATGAGTATAAGCTGCTGGAGCTGAAAAGGGATGAGTATAGGATGCTGGAGCTGAGAAGGCGATGTGTATAGGCTGCTGGAGCTGAAAAGGGGATGAGTATAGGCTGCTGGAGCTGAAAAGGGTGTGTGTATAGGCTGCTAGAGCTGAAAAGGGATGAGTATAGGCTGTTAGAGCTGAGAATGGGTTGAGTATAGGCTGCTAGAGCTGAAAAGGATGTGTGTATAGTCTGCTAGAGCTGAAGAGGGGGATGTGTATGGGCTGCTAGAGCTGAAAAGGGGTGAGTATAGGCTGCTAGAACTGAGAATGGGATGAGTATAGGCTGCTAGAACTGAGAATTGGATGAGTATAGGCTGCTAGAGCTGAGAATGGGATGAGTATAGGCTGCTAGAGCTGAGAATTGGATGAGTATAGGCTGCTAGAACTGAGAATGGGATGAGTATAGGCTGCTAGAACTGAGAATTGGATGAGTATAGGCTGCTAGAACTGAGAATGGAATGAGTATAGGCTGCTAGAGCTGAGAATTGGATGAGTATAGGCTGCTAGAGCTGAGAATGGGATGAGTATAGGCTGCTAGAACTGAGAATTGGATGAGTATAGGCTGCTAGAGCTGAGAATGGAATGAGTATAGGCTGTTTATTTGATATCATATACTGATTAAATACCTTGGTCTCGTTGTACAAAACAACCTTACCACTGCGACTGTCGCAAGGCTATGTCAAGGCATGGAAGTGACGTTAACCTTAGTGCTAAGATCGTTTAGTACAACGACACCCAGCCATGTATACGATTCAGAAGTCCACCCCTGCAACCTGTGCTGGACGAAATGGATCGGGTGGTCAGACTCAGTGACTTGGGTGATGGTGTGTGGTCATACACGGACATCAATCTCATTAAAATCAGATCTTAGCTCTCGCTACCGCTTTGTTTAGCGGTAGCGAGAACTAAGGTCTGATTTTAATGAGATTGACACGGACATTCATTCTTGTATGTGCGACAGACAGACAGATAAACAAACAAACAAAATACAAAAACACGAACAAACACACAGACAAACAAAGATTAAATAGCAAAATTAGAGATTAATGAGCGTATGAGAGAGATTATCATAACCCTCCACACTTTCCCCCCTATTATTTTCGCGTACAGAAATACGACACGTTCCCATTTACAATTCAAATTTAATCAGACGCTTTGCTTGTTTGGAAAACCTTCACAGATTCCGAAAGACTAAAATGTTGTGTCCTACAGACTGGCAATATTCTGTATGTAACTAGATTAGTGTAAAAAACAACAACAACAACAACAACAAAAAACCACCAAAAAAAAACAAACTAGATTAGTGTTCGGGGAAGCAGCTGGGAGGTGATACAGTGTTCCTGACAACTGGCCACGTTTAAGGAGGGCCCCACGGGTCAGTCTGGTCGTCGACAGCCGGCCGCACCTGGCAGATATTTTGACATTGACAAATTACTGTTTGACAATCACTTAATATTCCCCCGCATCGTTTCTCACGCAGCACGTGCGGGTAATATAGACATCAATATCATTGTTGACAGGGAATATTTGTAATTGTCATATCGCCCAATTAGAGTTAAATCAGCCGGAGAGATATGCGATGTGAATGGATATGAATTATCGCCTGTGGCAGCTGAACTACTTAATTAGACGTCACATATGTCTCAATTCTTGTCTGCGTCTGATATGAAGAGTTGCGTCCCCTACCCGTGGCAGAATTCGCTAATCGTGGATTCTAATCCCAAATTCGGACCACGCCATCGACCGGTCCCAATGGATAGGATAGACTGTATGGTTTCAAATGTAAGTGAGTGAGTTGGGTTTAACGCCGCTTTTAACAGTATTCCAGTTATATCGCGGCGTGTCAGCTTAATGTGGGAGGAAAGCCCGAAGTGATGCAGGTGTCAGACGTTTACCACTTCGGTGAACCCCACGAGCACGGGTATGGTGCTGACAAACCTAGAAACATATTCAAATTTAAGAGCAGATAGGTATGAATTTTGGAAGAGATATGTACTTTCATTGCAGTGGTGCTAATATCGTCCCCGAGGACTTGCGATACTATTATTTCTCCATGTTTGTACAAAGTGATTTTTAAGTACACTTTGAAACCCTTGAAATTGACCAAGGCGTGGTATATGTAGAAAGGTCATTAAAAAGAAAGTCCAACGTTATGCAAAAAATCTTTTACAAAATTTAACCATTGGTAAACAACAGCATTTATTTCTAATTTATTAATTTCGCATTTAATATCTAAAACAATAAAATTATTCAAAATGTGAGATCAATTGTAGGATATTGTTTCCAAGTGAGTTTATTCGAGAAAGACATAACCAGTTTACATATTTTAATAATTATAGGATCTCGGCCATCTTAATCATAAATCATAAATAAGCGTGTGGAGTTTCATAGTCCAGCTGCCAGCTGCAGCAATATATATGCACTTTCTATGATATCTAAGTTCTGAGCCATACGGTGAAATGCGTACACAATATCAAAGTTAGCCGATAGGAAACAAACAAGCTGTAGGTTCAGGTTCCGTGGTCTTTTCAAGAGACAATGCGTGGTTTTAATTGCATTTACACTGACACCCTCAGTCAATTTACAAATTAACGATTTCTGTAACTTTCACCAAAATAGAAATCAAATGCTGAGGTTTCGAGTAGAGCCACTTCAAAATGTAATATTTTTGTTTTAGCGATATTGATTCCCCTGGATACTGTAAGCTTAGAGTTCATTGAGTGTATATTGTAGTTCATTAGATCTTTCATCACGAACAACTGGGGTGTGGGTGTGGGTGTGGGTGTGGGTGTGGGTGTGTGGGTGTGGGTGTGGGTGTGGGTGTGGGTGTGGGTGTGGGTGGGTGTGGGTGTGGATGGGTGTGGGTGTGTGTGTGTGTGGGTGTGGGTGTGGGTGTGTGTGGGTGTGGGTGTGGGTATGGGTGTGGGTGTGGGTGTGGGTGGGTGTGGGTGTGGGTGTGGGTGGATGTGGGTGGGTGTGGGTGTGGGTGGGTGTGGGTGGGTGTGGGTGTGTGTGTGGGTGTGTGTGGGTGTGTGGGTGTGGGTGTGGATGTGGGTGGGTGTGGGTGTGGGTGTGGGTGTGGATGTGGGTGGGTGTGGGTGTGGGTGTGGGTGGGTGTGGGTGTGGGTGGGTGTGGGTGTGGGTGTGGGTGTGGGTGAGTGTGGAGAGACATGGGTGGCCCAGTCGTCTAAGGCGCCGCGATTCGCTGTGCAGAGTTGCGTCCCTTGGGCACGCCAGAAACCTATGATTGTGTGTTCGAATCCCGGTACGCCCCGATTATGTTTCTAGGTTTGTCAAGACCATACCCGCGCCCGTGCTCGTGCTCGTGGTCTCACTTCGGGCTTTCCTCCCACATTCAGCTGATATAACCGGAATACTGTTAAAAGCGGCGTTAAATCCAACTCACTCACTCACAAAAACAAGTATGTCATTAGCAATAGGGTAGAATAATAAACTGTAGCCATAACGATATGTTGGAATCATCTAAGCACTAAATATTAACTCATCTGCAACCCTTAGATATTAAGTGCATGACGTTCGATGTCGTATAGGATATCGAAAATATAAGGGGCGATAAACTGTCTCCCTGCCTGACACCAGTTAGGCAAAGGAATTGGTCTGACAATTGATATAGTTATATCATATACTGTTATAATTTTTTTAATCCATTGTAAGTAAAATACTTTCAAAACCAGACCAGTGTCCCGTCCCAAACAGTAGCAAACGCCCTTGTTAAGTTGATAAATACATAACACATTTTAGTCTTGAAGAGTTTAGAAATCTGTATAATCTTGTTTAGAATGAATAACTTTTTAACTTCTTTGATAGTCATTTAGAAGTTGGAGTATTAAGGAAGGATATAAGATTTATGGATGTAATAAAGAAGTTGCTCATCCATAAATCTTATCCTTACTTAACGAATATCTTATCTACAGTCATAAAAAAATATCATTCAGTTCAAAGCGACTTCAGTCCGCCGTCGGGGGCAAGGGTGGCCCAGTCGTCTAAGGCGCCGCGATTCGCTGTGCAGAGTTGCGTCCCTTGGGCACGCCAGAAACCTATGATTGTGGGTTCGAATCCCGGTTCGCCCCGATTATGTTTCTAGGTTTGTCAGCACCATACCCGTGCTCGTGGGTTTCACCGAAGTGGTAAACGTCTGAGACCTGCATCACTTCGGGCTTTCCTCCCACATTAAGCTGACGCGCCGCGATATAACTGGAATACTGTTAGAAGCGGCGTTAAGCCCAACTCACTCACTCACTCACTCAGTCATATAGCTCGAATATTGCTGAGTGCGGCGTTAAATAACAAACAAACAAACAAATTTCTGGTAGCCAATCGGTGACCCAGGAGAAACTACGGAATCTATATAATCTGTTGTTGTTGCTCTATTACCCGGCATTCTTTAAGTCGTACTTGTCGACAGAACCATCACCTCGTGGGGGGTCACAGCCCTGAAGCCAGTGTCTGTACGTGACATGTGAACGTGGCATGACAACTCAGTGACGTCAAATAACTTAAATCAGAACCCGTGAGACTCAATAACGTCCCACGGTCTTTCAGCCAATCAAATCCGAGAAAATACGACAATACCCAAGAATCATATTCCCACTGTTATCCTAATATAATCATTTGTCCGCCCCTGTGGAATAAATGAGTGAGTGAGTGAGTTGGGTTTAACGCCGCTTTTAACAGTGTTCCAGTTATATCACGGCGTGTCAGATCAATGTGGGAGGAAAGCCCGAAGTGATGCAGGTCTCAGACGTTTACCAGTTCGGTGAAACCCACGAGCACGGGTATGGTGCTGACAAACCTAGAAACATAATCGGGGTGAACCGGGATTCGAACCCACAATCAAAGGTTTCTGGCGTGCCCAAGGGACGCAACTCTGCACAGCGAATCGCGGCGCCTTAGACGACTAGGCCACCCGTGCCCCCGTGGAATAAATGACCCTTATGGGTTCAGCTATCATATTATTCATCTACTTCTGTCTTCGAAAGGAAGGGTTAGATAGTCAGATCGGTTAAATTTGGCTGGTCACGTGTCATCGTGCGCCGGTGGCGTGGGCAGGTGCTTGTGCTTCATTCAATGGTTTGCCACTGCAATCCCGATCAGCTACATCCACCATGAGACCCATGAAGATCCGGGTTTGAATAGGTGTTCAGCCACCCATGCTTGCCGAAAAAGGTGACTATGCACTTACTAACTCACCCACCCATCAACCCAAACCACCACCCACCTAGCCATATACACTCACCAACCTACCCACCCACAACTCACTCACTCACCCACGATCCGTGAAGATCAGGGTCAGAATAGGTCTTCAGCAACCCATTCCTGCCGTAAAAGGAGACTATGCTTGTCGTAAGAGGCGACTAACGGGATCGGGTGGTCAGACTCGCTGACTTGGTTGATGCATGTCATCGATCCCAATTGCATGGGTCGATGCTCATGATGTCAATCACTGGATTGCCTGGTCCAGACTCGATTACTTACAGACCGCCGTCATACAGCTGGAATATTGCTGAGTGCGGCGTTAAACAACAAACAAACAAAACATCCGCCATGATAAACTGTAATATTGTTGACTGGCGTAAAGCATGTTTTCCAATCAGGCTTTATCCCATATTCCCTGTATGCTTTATCACTTGGGGGCACGGGTGGCCCAGTCGTCAGAGGCGCCGCGATTCGCTGTGCAGAGTTGCGTCCCTTGGGCAGAAACCTATGATTGTGGGTTCGAATCCAGGTTCGCCCCAATTATGTTTCTAGGTTTATCAGCACAATATCCGTGCTCGTTGGGTTTCACCGAAGTGGTAAACGTCTGAAACCTGCATCACTTCGGGCTTTCCTCCCACATGAAGCTGACACGCCGCGGTATGACTGGAATACTGTTAAAAGCGGCGTAAAACCCAACTCACTCACTCACTTTATCACTTGTTTTTTGTGCTAAAATCAATATTTTTAAAACAGAACATGCGAATCGAGAAATCCTAAGCAATTTCGTTTTCGTTTTTTTTTGCAAACTGTGTGCTTATATGCGTTTTATTAGCTTATCTAGTATACTGCGCGCTCTATAACTGTATGATTTATCCGTGATGTCTGTACATTGTAGCACGATGAACGTAAGCGCAACAGGTGTTCGATATTAATCACCAAATAAGTTGATCACATGACTAAAGTAGTGGTCACATGACGGAAGCCTCGACAGATGGCCAATAGGGTCATGTCAAGCTGTTCGCCGCTATAATGTCGCGTTAATCTATTATATCTGATAGAAGAGTCACGTTTCTAACCTGACCTGAATATACTGAGGTATTATGAAGTAAGATTTATATATATCTGTAGCAGTTATCGAAAAATGTGCAAACTGTTTACAGTTTATTTTGTCGAGGTGGGGTAGGGTACATACGTCACGATCAAGATTATTGCGCATGCTCGTGAGTGGCTGTTTCTACTAGTCTGGACGTATGCCAGTTCTATAGTAGCCCACGAAGATACCATGCCGCAGTTTAACATGGATATCCCACTCAGGCACAGTATACTGACTCCGAGCCGACCAGTCCTTGTTTTATTCTCCTAATCTTGAACGCCAGGCAGGGAAACAAAAATCGGATCTCTGAACGTCGTTATGTTGGCGACAACCAGGGATTCGAACCACCGACCTTTCTCTCTCAGGGCAGCGCGCTATCCACTAGACCACTGAGACTGTCGGTATATCAGGGCATTTGTTGATTGTATTATAACAACATGAACTAAAGTCAATTTTTTTCTACGTTTTCATTTAAGAAATAAACGACGAGTGGGAGTTGTTTATCGTACAATAAAACACAGCAGGGAAAATATGCCATTAGGAGCGCAAACTCGATGGGTTTATTCGCCCTGCAGTGTTTTATTGTGCGATAAACAACGACCACGAGTCGTTTAATTTTTTTAATGACATTTCACATTATGTACAGCCTCTTTAGAATGTTTATATAATGTGCAAGCTTCAAAACTATATACCCGTAATTTAGTAATCCTTTTCTCCCAACACCGATTGTCATATCTATCCGACTTTTGGATGCGATCGTTCGGCCACTGCGTTTATCTACGTTTGCAAGCTACATCTATGGGAAACAACCCATCAGACACTTCCCTCTAAAAAATAACTTCGTTCGAAATGTGACGTCCTCAAGTTGCAAGTGCATATTCGAATCTCCAGAAATGACGTCATGAAAGAACAATGTTTTATCGTGAAATACACCATGCTTCGTTCTTCATTGTTCATTGCGATTTATCTTGCAGACAACCATGACGTCACAATCAAATGACATCACTAATGGCTCTGCTAATGAAGCTGTTAGCATTACTTTTTACACTTAAGACACTGCTTATTGCTGTCTACAAACTGAAAAACTTGAAGAATGATGTTGGATGATCAAATATAAATTATATCGTTGATATATTTGCTATCAAAAGACACTCGGGTGAGATTCTCTATATATCAGGGGAAACGGGTGGCCCAGTCGTCTAAGGCGACGCGATTCGCTGTGCAGAGTTGCGTCCCTTGGGCACGTCAGAAACCTATGATTGTGGGTTCGAATCCCGGTTCGCCCCGAATATGTTTCTAGGTTTGTCAGCACCATACCCGTGCTCGTTGGGTTCACCGAAGTGGTAAACGTCTGAGACCTGCACCACTTGGGGCTTTCCTCCCACATTAAGCTGACACGCCGCAATATAACTATTCCTTCCATGTGAGGCTGAGAACTCAGTCCTCTGTTATCTAGCTAGTCCTGCACCATGACCGTGGAATATATTTATTTTATGTAAAAATAATAATCTAGAAATGCATACAAAAGCAAGTCCAGCCAGCTCAAGCTAGCTCTATTCTGAAATTAGCATAGGGAATTTTTCTTTTTTTTTTGAGTCAAGAAGGATATGGTGTAATATAAGATTTCAGAGACTAAATGTTAGTCTATCATCTAGCATGTAAAACGTGATATTCCAGTGTAATATTTTCATGCTCAAAGCGGAGTTACAACTCGCTCACTCGCTGTGTGCTATGTCACTAAGATGTTTACTATTCTCTATATCATTAAATCCTGCACCTCCTCAAAAACTGTAGCTGTCTATCGTCTACTACGTAACCTACCCGTGCTGAAATTGCGTTTTGAAAGCTGTCATCTGTATTCGATACTATACAAGCAGATTCTGCAGGAGAAACAATAATATCTGACCTCATGTGGTAAACACGTTTTCGAAAACAGCTACTTATTTCAGCGCGCATTAAACACCAGTCTATTTTAAAACGGTCTCATCTGTCAAAGAAACGAACAGACAGAACCTATCTTATCATTATTTAAGTTAACATTGAAACAATTATTTCACTATAAATCACACTCGAGGTTGTTAATTCTCAATTCGGAAGAAGCGAGACTCCGTGAAACACGAATGTTTTTGCACATGACATATTTGCTAAAATACTGCACCCATCGCTCAAGGCAGTGCTTGAAAACTGATGTTACAAGATAAAATGAGGCTTTTTTAAAAGTTGTCTATTGGTTTGTCCTAAGGTCGTGGTACCTAACGTATACTAGGTGACTCATTGCTTTTTTTACCCGACTGGCAATTGCTTATAAAATGAGTAATTATGTGGGTTTAAGTGGGAAACCAAAAGCCCGAGTATGGTGGACAGAATTAGGGCGGAGACATCACCTTCTCGCCCTCAATGACGTCCGTGAGGAAGCCATACAGCGATGCCACGAGACGAGAAAGCGTTACCGCGAGACGAGAAAGCGATAACACGAGACGAGAAAGCGATACCACGAGACGAGAAAGCGATGCCACGAGACGAGAGAGCGATACCCCGAGACGAGAAAGTGAAACCAGGAGACAAGAAAGCAAATACCACGAGACGACAAAGCGAATACCACGAGACGAGAAAGCGATACCACGAGACGAGAAAGCGATGCCACGAGACGAGAAAGCGATACCACGAGACGAGAAAGCGATACCACGAGACGAGAAAGCGATACCACGAGGCGAGAAAGCGATGCCACGAAACGAGAAAGCGATATCGCTAGACGAGAAAGCGATATCGCTAGACGAGAACGCGATAACAGGAGGCGAGAAAGCGATGCCACGAGACGAGAAAGCGATATCGCGAGACGAGAAAGCGATAACAGGAGGCGAGAAAGCGAATACGACGAGACAAGAAAACGATAACACGAGGCGAGAAAGCGATGCCACGAGACGAGAAAGCGATATCGCGAGACGAGAAAGCGATAACAGGAGGCGAGAAAGCGAATACGACGAGACGAGAAAGCGTTACCGCTAGACGAGAAAGCGATACCACGAGACGAGAAAGCGTTACCGCGAGACGAGAAAGCGATGCCACGAGACGAGAAAGCGTTACCGCGAGACGAGAAAGCGATAACACGAGGCGATAAAGCAATGCCACGAGACGAGAAAGCGAATACCACGAGACAAGAAAGCGATACCACGAGGCGAGAAAGCGAAACCAGGAGACGAGAAAGCGATAACACGAGACGAGAAAGCGATGCCACGAGACGAGAAAGCGATACCACGAGACGAGAAAGCGAAACCAGGAGACAAGAAAGCAAATACCACGAGACGAGAAAGCGAATACCACGAGACAAGAAATCGAACCCACGGGACGAGAAAGCGATATCGCGAGACGAGAAAGCGATACCACGAGACGAGAAAAGCGATACCACAAGACAAGTATCGAAACCACGAGACAAGAAATCGAACCCACGAGACGAGAAATCGAAACAACGAGACGAGAAAGCGATAACACGAGACGAGAATGCGATACCACGAGACAAGAAAGCGATACCACGAGACAAGAAATCGAAACCACGAGACAAGAAAGCGATACCACGAGACGAGAAAGCGATAACATCAGACGAGAAAGCGATGCCACAAGACGAGAAAGCGAAACAACGAGGCGAGAAAGCAAATACCACGAAACGTGAAAGCGATAACACGAGACAAGAAAACGATACCACGAGCCAAGAAAGCGAAACCACGAGACGAGAAAGCGCTACTACGAGACAAGAAAGCGACACCACGAGACAAGAAAGCGAAACAACGAGACGAGAAAGCGATATGGTTTCTCGTCTCGCGCTATCGCTTTCTCGTCTCGTGGTATCATGGTATCGTGGTATCTCTTTCTCGGCTCGTGGTATCATGGTATCGTGGTATCGCTTTCTCGCGGCAATAATTGAAAGCGAGAAAGCGATGCCCCCTCTCGGCCACCATACAGAAAAATGATCAGAACCGGGTTTCACCCTGGACTTTAACCTGCTGTTTGCTTTAGTTGATTTTTATATTATTTATGACATCATGTAATGTCAACCACAAAATATTTCACTTGTACGCGATCAATCCTCGGGCCATCTAGCATGAAGAAAGGGAAGCAATTTGTTTCCAGTATAATATTTTCATGCTCAAAGCGGAGTTATACAACGCTCTCACTCACTGTGTGCGTGAAGAACGATGTCACCGTGATGTTTACCCTTCTCTATATCATTAAATCTATCTACAAAATGTAACTTAATTATATCTTTAGCAGTAGGATAGCCATGTAGTCGCTCTTAGGGGCAGTGGGGTATCCATATGGTCGCTCTTATGGACAGTAGGATAGCCTTGTGGTCGCTCTTAGGGGCAGTTGGGTATCCATATGGTCGCTCTTATGGGCAGTAGGATAGCCTTGTGGTCGCTCTTAGGGGCAGTGGGGTATCCATATGGTCGCTCTTATGGGCAGTAGGATAACCTTGTGGTCGCTCTTAGGGGCAGTGGGGTATCCATATGGTCGCTCTTATGGGCAGTAGGATAGCCTTGTGGTCGCTCTTAGGGGCAGTGGGGTATCCATATGGTCGCTCTTATGGACAGTAGGATAGCCTTGTGGTCGCCCCTAGAGACAGTTGGGTAGCCATATGGTCGCTCTTGTGGGCAGTAGGATAGCCTTGTGGTCGCTCTTAGGGGCAGTGGGGTATCCATATGGTCGCTCTTATGGGCAGTAGGATAGCCTTGTGGTCGCTCTTAGGGGCAGTGGGGTATCCATATGGTCGCTCTTATGGACAGTAGGATAGCCTTGTGGTCGCCCCTAGAGACAGTTGGGTAGCCATATGGTCGCTCTTATGGGCAGTAGGATAGCCTTGTGGTCGCTCTTAGGGGCAGTGGGGTATCCATATGGTCGCTCTTATGGACAGTAGGATAGCCTTATGGTCGCTCCTAGAGACTGTTGGGTAGCCATATGGTCGCTCTTATGGGCAGTGGTGTAGCCATATGGTCGCTCTTAGGGGCAGTAGGATAGCCTTGTAGTCGCTTTGGGGGCAATGGGGTAGCCATATGGTTGCTCTCTGGGCAGTGGGGTAGCCATCTGGTTGCTCTCTGGGCAGTGGGGTAGCCTTGTGGTCGCTCTTAGGGGCAGTGGGGTAGCCTTGTGGTCGCTCCTAGGGACAGTGGGATAGCCTTGTGGTCGCTCATAGGGTCAGTAGGGTAGCCATATGGTCGCTCTTAGGGGCAGTAGGGTCGCCTTGTGGTCGCTCATAGGGGCAGTAGGGTAGCCATATGGTTGCTCTCTGGGCAGTGGGGTAGCCTTGTGGTCGCTATTAGGGGTAGTGGGGTATCCATATGGTCGCTCTTAGGGCAGTGGGAGAGCCCCTTTGTCGCTCTTAGGGGTAGTAGGATAGTCTTTTGGTCGTTCTTTGGGGCAGTGGGGTAGCCATACGATCGCTCCCAGGGGCAGTAGGATAGCCTTGTGGTCGCTCTTAGGCCAGTAGGATAGCCCCGATGTCGCTCTTAGGGGCAGGGGGATAGCCATATGGTGGATCTTAGAGGCAGTGGGATAGCCACGTTGTCGCTCTTAGGGGTATTAGTATAGCCTTGTGGTCGTTCTTAGGGGCAATGGGATAGCCCCATGGTCACTAGTCACGCCGAAGACCGATTTCCGATGCAGTTTGTAGAGCACTTTTCTTGAGTACCCTCTCCATACCTCACTTCGTTATATAGCTGTACACTGTTGCTAAGTCGGCGTAAAACCACACTGAACCATTCTCTCGCTTCACAATAATAGCAAAACCAAAAAAACCCAGATGTTACTGGATACCGATCAAGACTAGTCCACTAATAATTGAATTGTAATACACGCGCTGAATCGCTACTTTATTCACAGAACCCAGTCCTACTGTGTTACAAGCAACAGCGAGCTCATGGCTGTTATCGGATCAAAATGAACAGGTTTCATTATACTGTGTAGATGCTCCTATTTTTTGGGTAAGACAATATCCCGTCTAAAAAGTCGTTGAGGGAACAGACAAGACAGATAATGTTGATGCATGTCTGCTGTTTTTCTTTTGTTTTTCTTTTAAAAAAAAAATATATATATTAATATTATTGATGATAAGATGACACGTATGTTTCTCTGATAGGAGACGGCGGACATTTTGCTTTTCTCTCACGGTATCTTGCATGGCTTAGTGAAAAAATAGCATATGCTTTAATTAATCATAAGGCATGCGCAGTATATGTTAACAACGCTACAGATTTGCACTTACTGAAAAATATTATTGAATTGATATAGAAAAACGGTGCTTAATTTAATGTCGTCTTTTATCTTACAATATTTCCAAACATTTTTATCCGAAGCCTTCCTTTCTTTTGGCTTTCGCTACTGATGGTATTGTTAGCCTTAAACAGACAGGTCCCACTGTCTACGGCTTATGTGTAGGTCTTGAGTGATTGAGTATGGTTTTACGCCGCTTTTAGCAATATTCAGCAATAGCACGACGGGGAACACCAGAAATAGGCTGGAGAATTCACACATTGTACCCATGTAGGGAATTGAACCCGGGCCGTCGGCGTGACGAGCGAACGCTTTAACCACTATGCTGCCCAAACGCCCTGTGCCTTGTGTGAAATTGAGACATCGTTTCTGCGTAATATGGTAATCATTTAATGGTAGATATATACAGATCTAGACGATAAACCTAGAGACCGGCTAAGAGTGATATAACCGACACAAACTGGCTTGAACTGGCCATTTGACCAGTTCCTAGTATATGACGTTAATATATGGAATCCTTCTACACAATGTCCATTTCCGCAGTTACGCTGACCTCTGGCTTAAATTGCGTCTCCTAGCTTTCCCATCAAATCGGCTTTTGTTTATTCGATCTAAAAATACCAAGGACGCTTTTATCCCTGGAGAGTCTAACAGAAACAGAGAGCGAAGAGATTCATATTGATTCTGGGAATCTGCCAACTCAGCGAATTTCACTCGATATTTTGTCGTCAACATTCTCCAATGAACGAGGACAAATGAAAGGTTTACCTAAACAAGGCACTTCTGCCATGTATACAGGCAACAGAAAAGTTGGATTGGGTAAACATGAAAACTAGGAATGTGGGAACTCAGTTCCTGGAGTGGCTTGGCACAGTATGTAGGCCCCGGCCAGACATACTTGTTGAACTAACAGCCTGTGGTATATGTTTCAGTGTTGACGCAAGGCAGACAATTTAATTATTCAATCTAGGGCAGATAATTCGAGTGAAACAAAGCAGAGTCTTATTTCAGCTTTTACGCATGTGTAGGCCCACACTGACCCTGATAGGAAACCGAGTAAGAACTTGTTCCCAGCAACCTTTGCTTGTTGTTAGGCGACTGCTAAATGTATCGCACTCGCACACGCACACGCATACGCATATGCACACGCACACGCACACGCACGCAGGCAAACACGCGCACAGAATACCGACCTTACGTTAAACCGAGACAGCTCTAACAGTCTGTGTCAGTATTGTAATAAGCGCTCTAAAACCCTCCCCCCACCCCCACCCCCTCCCCCCGACCCACACACTGACCCACAGCTTAAAACACCGCTTCACCCTTAGTAGGCATTCGACTTAAATAACACTGTCCAATAAGGGTAGCCTAGTGGTACAGCGTTCGCTCGTCACGCCGATGACTCGGGTTCAATTCCCAACATGGGTGAGCCCATTTCTCGTGTCTCCCCGGGGCGCAGCGATTCGCTGTGCAGAGTTGCGTCCCTTGGGCACGCCAGAAACCTATGATTGTGGGTTCGAATCCCGGTTCGCCCTAATTACGTTTCTAGGTTTGTCAGCACCATACCCGTGCTCGTGGGTTTCACCGAAGTGGTAAACGTCTGGGACCTGCATCACTTCGGGCTTTCCTCCCACAGTAAGCTGACACGCCGCGATATAACTGGAATACTGTTAAAAGCGACGTTAAACCAAACTCACTCACTCACTGACTCCTGTGTCTCCCGCTGTGGTGTGGCTGAAATATTGCTAAACATGGCGTTAACAATACTTACTAACTCACTACTACTACTTGAACTCTTATCTCCTGTAGTAGTTTTAAACCCTACTTATGCACTATCAACTTGTTCTCTTTTTCACT